TCTCTCTCTTTGTCTATTTCACTCTTTCCTCCTTTCTCTCTCTCTCTCTCACACACACACAAATGCATCAGCTTGCTGTGGCAGACTCCTTCCTCTCTCTCTCCCAGGTGCGAAGCCTCCTCCTCAGCACAGCTGGTCCTTGACCACAATTGAGCCCAAAACTTCCATTGCCGGGCTAGGCAGTTGTTAAGGGAGTTTTGCACCATTTTATGACCTTTCTTGCCACTGTTGTTAAGTGAATCACTGCAGGTGTTAAGTTAGTAACCTGCTTGTTCAATGAATCTGGCTTCCCCGTCGACTTTGCTCATCAGAAGTGGGATCATGTGACTTTGGGACACTGCAGCCGTCACAAACACGAGTCAGCCGCCAAGCCTCTGAATGTTGAGCCCCTGACCACAGGGATGCTGCAACGGGCATAAGTATGAAAAACAGCCGTAAGTCACTTCTTTCAGTGCCGTTTTAAGTTTGAATGGTCACTAAATGAACTGCAGCATCCCACACAATCCCCTTTTGCAACCTTCTGACAAGCAAAATCAGTGGGGAAGCCAGATTCGCTTAATGACTGTGTTGCTAACTTAACAACTGCAGTGATTCGATTAAGAACCCTGGTGAGAAAAGTCATTAAAGGGGGGGAACTCACTTTAGGAGCCACTTCATTGCTTGTAAGCAAGCCAGGGTCACTGCGGCCGGCCGTATAAATCCTCTAAAATAAATCCATGAATAACCGTACCAGTTTAGCGGCGAAAATTTGGGGCTCGGTTGTGGTCGTAAGTCAAGGACTTGATGTACTTGCAGAATTGCTTTCTAGTAAGGGAAGTAAAAGGCTTTGCAAACTCTGCTGGAGGCTTTGTTTTTGAGAGGAGCCCTTCCCTTGATGTTTCGGGAAAGATCTTCCTCTTCTTTGTGTCCGTTGGAGAAGAAGATCTGGGAAGGGGGTCTCCAACCTTGGCAACTTTAAGCCTGGCGGACTTCAACTCCCAGATTTCCCCAGCCAGCTTTGCTTAAAGTTGTCAAGGTTGGAGACACCTGGTCTGGGGAGCGGGATCCATTCTTGTCTCCCTGACCTCCTTTGGCCTTGAGAGTAAAGCTCTTGATCCTGGTGTAGTTTTAATCCTCCCTCTGGGCAGGAGGCATCAAACACACACACACACACACAGACACACACACACACAGAGACCCCTGAATCCCTGCACACCTGCCTTACAAAGAGACTTCTCCCAAGATCCACTACCAAGAAAGCGAATTGTGTTAGCCTCGGGTGTCAAAAAAACCCGAACCAAACCAGGCAAAGGTTGGGAGCAACTTTTCTGACTCACAACTTTTATTAAAAGGCGGTGTAAGTTTTTGTGTGCCACAGCTCCCTCTGATGTGTGTAGATGGGTTAAGCTGATTGCAGAAGTAGAATCCGTGCCTTGTAAAATGTGGGTTATGGCCTACATCCAGGGTGGTTACTAAAATAATGCTCATTGTTTGCTTTATATTTACACACACGGCTCTGTTTGCGTATCACCTTTTGCCTGGTTGCTTGTTCTGGATTTGCAAAAATTAAAAAACGCTTTTGAGTTGCAAATTGAATTTGCACAATGTTGTAGATCACGGAGAAGCCCAAAACGAGGCGGCTTCAAATTTATGCTGGGAACACGAGCAAGGAGAATGGAAGTTTTATTGTGCTGGATGGACATGTAAAAAAAAAAAAAAAAAGCTAGAGAAGTTTGGATACAAATACAGCGATTCAGAGGATTTTTTAAAAGGCCAATATATAGTTGAGAGCAGAGGTCTTTCTTTTGGGAACTGATGGACAAAGAGTTGGAAAAGAGATGTGGAACTTTATATCTGTAGATGAAAACGGCAGGGAGATTTACTATATGGTCAAAGATGGGAGTGTTTGGCAATCCCTATAATGGAGGAAGGTTTGGTGAAGATGATGGTGGCTAAATTGACTTATTGGATGAGGGGAAAAGACAATATCTGTGTTTATTGCTGGCTGTAAATCGCTTACAGATTTTTCGTGTAGAACAGAAGAAAAACAAATTTGTGATTTATGGTTTTGGAGCTCAGACACAGATTTCAGGAAGCAGAGGGTTCTGTTGTAACTTTACAGGAAGAGGTAAATTTCTAATGATATTTATAACTGCTGTAAAGAAGATCGGAAACCATTTATTTACATCCTATTTTCTGTTTTTCTTTTTTCCTTTCTTTTAGCTTTCTTTTTCTTTTTCCAGCCTTGCTTTTTATTAGTTTATATTTGTTTTTATCTTCCTTTTAAAAAGTTTTAATAACAGTATTTTTTAGGGAAAAAAAACCCAGGAAAAAACCAAAGTAAACATTTCGTAAAGTTTTTGTGTTGTGTACACAAGCCGCTGGCTGGATCTTTACCAAAATCTTTAACCCATTTTACCAAAATATGTTATGCGAACTGTGTTCCAAGAGAAACATTTTGAAAACTCTATAAGCTAAAACTTAGAATCATTTTTCTTACGCTGAGCGGATAAAAGTTTTTCCTAATTGGTTTGTTTAAGTTATGTGTCACTGAAAGGGAAGGAAAGACACTCTGAGTCTATGGGAAACGGCTACAGGCAGTCCTTGACTTACAATCATTCATTTAGTGACCGTTTGAAGTTACAACGGCACTGGAAAAAGTGACTTATGACCGTGTTTCACACTTATGACCCTTGCGGCATCCCACAGTCACATGATCAAAATTCAGAAATACAGGTAGTCCTTGACTTACAACAGTTCGTTTAGTGACCGCCCAAAGTTATAATGGCAGTGAAAAAAGTGACTATGGCCATTTTTCACACTTATGACCGTTGCAGCATCCGTATACGGTAGTCACATGATTTACATCTGGACACTTGACAGCTGGCTCACATATATGACAGTTTCAGCATCCCAGAGTCACGTGATCCCGTTTTGCGATCTTCTGACAAGCAAAGTCAATGGGGAAGCCAGATTCACTTAACGACCGGGTTACTAATTCAAGAACTGCAGGGAGTCACTGAACAAATGAGTCAAGGAAAGTTGTAAAACGGGGCAAAACTTACTTAACAAATTCCTCACTTAGCAACATAAATGTTGGGCTCCATTGTGGTCGTAAGTTGAGGACTACCTGTATTTATGACGGTCGTTGCATCCGGGGGTCACGTGATCCCCTTTTGCGACCTTCTGACAAGCAACGTCAGCGGGGAAGCCAGATTCACTTAACGGCGACCGTCTTACTAACTCGGCAACTGTGGTGATTCACGTAACAACTGTGCCAAGAAAGGTCGTAAAATGGGAAAAAATTCACTTAAGCAATGTCTCACTTAGCAACAGAGATTTCAGGCTCCATTGTGGTCGTAAGTCCAGGGCTGCCTGTATTTGACTTGACCCTCTGCCTGGATGCACAATCCCAGACACCGGATTCGATCTAGAGGCCGTGGGCTGTTATGGTGTGAAATAAGAACTTGTGAAGTAGCCTGTGAACGTTTGCAGCAGAAGCACAAATGCAAAGTTTGAGGGCAGAGCTGCCCTCCAGGAAACCCCTGGACTTTTATTTTTAAAATGAATGCAAATTTCACACCACGCGGCTCCACGAAGGCGACTTTCGAAACTCGGCTCTGCTGATGAAGCTTATTCCCAGGGAAATTGCAAGCCTCAAAAAAGCACCACGTAATAATAGTAATTAAGAGCGCAAATGAAGCTCCTTAGAAAGAGAATCTCTGTAGCTCAGGGCTGAACTGAGGGGTCCCTGGGGGCTCCCTGAGCTGGGTTGATTTCTTGCAGACGTCTCATGACCCAACTAGGGAACATCATCAGTGACTGAAGGGAGTGCGGTTTGCAGAGAGGAGGAGGAGGACTGGGGGGTCCTGGGTGCTCTCTGAGCTGAGTGGTTTTCTTGCAGGCGTTTCATGACCCAACTAGGTAACAACATCAGTGCTAGAAGGGAGAAGGTCTTGCGGAGAGGAAAACTGTAGGGTTCTTCATGGTCCCTGAGGACAGTTGTTTTCTTGCAGATGTTTCATGACAACAAAAGTTGCGGCTGTACGTTATTACGCTATTTTATTAAAAAGAATCGGACATCAATGCTTCCCTTTGTCTTTTCCCTTTTATCCTTCCCTTTTTCTCCTCCCCTAAATTCCCATTATTCTCATTTCTCTTCACATTTCTGCATTTTATATTCTGATAGACCTGCTCAAAACGAAACCCTGAAGGGCCTGCTTTGATTTGGAGAAGACCTGACCCAAACCGGAGGTCCTTTCCAAGGGGGCGGGGAGGGGGGGGAGCCTTTTCCTGATTTTTAGGGCAGAGCTGGTGGGTCTCCCTGGATGACCAGCGAGCTGCATCTCTTTAGCTTTTAGATTAGATGAACAGAGTTGTTGGTTAAAAAGCATTTTCCTTCCCCCGAAGGGGCCTGGGAATCTGGTCTGAAGCAGCCCCTGCCCTTCAGTTGGGGGCTTCACCTTTGATCTCCCCTCCCTCGCTGTCCTCTCAAGTGGGGCCCTGCAAACCACTTTTGCACGGACGAACAAGAGTCTCTTTGTCTCAAGGCAGTGATCCATTTTTTAAAGAGGGAACCTGCTCTGGGTAGTTTTTACCTTTGACCCATATGTAGCACCCCCTAAACACCAAAGGGGGCTGCTGGGGCTTTGGATCTGGGGTGAGACCCCCACTGTAGCTCTGGGGTGCAGCCGGTGTGGGAAAGAGGCAATGGGTGAGGATTGATTGGCAGGTGGAGCTGGAAGAGATGGGTGCAGGAACTCCCAAGGACGCTGGGAGGGGATGATGGAAGCAGAGGGGCTCTTGGGAGAGCTCTTCCCCCCTTCCCCCCGGGTTGCAGGACAGAAGGTTGCTTGGTGCCATCATCCCCATTTAGAGGAAGAGGGAAAGCCAGGGGGAAGCAGCTGCTGTGGGGAAGCCCCATGGCGATTCTCAGTTCTTCAAAACTTGACCTACAGAAATACTTTCTCCGCAGTAGAAACAATGGATGGAAATTCATCAACCTAGAACTAAGGAGAAAATTTCCTAACAGTGAGAACAATTAACCAGTGGAACAGCTTGCCACTAGAACTTGTGAATGCTCCACCACTGGAGGCTTTTAAGAAAAGACTGGACAGCCATTTGTCCGGAATGGGGTAGGATCTCTTGCCTGAGTAAGACAAGGGGTTGGAGTAGGAGACCTCCAAGCTCTCTTCCAGCTCTGTTATTCTGATATGAGCAATAATTTGCTCTGCAGACGAAAAAGCGAAATCAATAGTTAGTGATTGCCACAAGTTCACTCTGCTTGAACAAACGGAGTTGGTAAAGTGAGCTTGGTTCAGTACTACTTTATAATGCCTTGGTAAACCATACTTGGAATATTAAAAAGAGGTGGAGACGCTAGAAAGAGTGCAGAGAAGAGCAAGGAAGATGATGAGGGGATTGGAGGCTAAAACACATGAAGAACGGTTGCAGGATTTGGGTTTGGCCAGTCTAGAGAAAAGGACCAGCGGAGACATGATAGCATCTTCCAATATTTGAGGGGCTGCCCCAGAGAAGAGGGGGTCAAAGCACCTGAAGGCAGGACAAAAAGCAAGGGATGGAAATAGTAACCAAGGACAGAATCAACCTGGAATTAAGAAGAAACTTCCTGAGAGAGAACAATTAACCAGTGGAACAACTTGCCACCAAGAAGTTGTGGGAGCTCCATCACTGGAGGTTTTTAAGAAGAGACTGGACAGCCCCTTGTCTGAAATGGTATAAGATCTCCTGCCTGGGCAGGGGGTTGGACTAGAAGACCTCCAAGGCCCCTTCCAACTCTGTTATTCTGTTATGCATATGCCTGCATCCTGCTTGATCTTCACCCCTCCCACCCGTGTCCCCCTTCTCCAAATTCTTCTTTTTCCTCCTCCTCCTCCTCCTCCTCCTCCCTCCTCTCCTCCTCCCTTCCTCCCTTCCTCCCTTCCTTCCCTTCATCTCCTTGGTTTCCTCTGGGCCAGCCCAGAGGTGCCACGCCCAGCCAAAGGTCACCAGCTCACCTGCCCTGCCCGCCTCCTGCTTCCGGGGACTGGCAACGGCGGGAATGCAACGGTTCTACCCTGTTCCAGGTACTCCTCGACTTACGACCCTTTACTGACTGTTTGAAGTTTGGTCACTGCCCTATAAGGCACTGAAAGAAGTGACTTACTCTTCAACTGTGGTTGCAGCTTCCCTCTGGCCACGTGTTCAGACACTCGGCAACTGAGTTCATATTGATTGACCACAACTGAGCCCAGAATTTCTGTTGTTAAGTGAATCACACCCCATTTCACAACCTTTCTTGCCCCCGTTGTTAAGTGAATCACTGCAGTTGTTAAATCAGTAGCATGGTTGTTAAGTGAATCTGGCCTGTTGACTTTTGCTTGTCAGACGGTCGCAAAAGGGGATCGTGTGACCAAGGGAGGCTGCAACCCGTCATAAGTCCATGCCAGTTGCCAAGCCTCTGAATTTCGATCATGGGGCCCTGGGGATGCTGCAACCGTCATAAGTGTGAAAAACCGTCCTAAGTCACTTTTTTCAGTGCCATTTTGACTTTGTATGGTCACTAAACAAATGGTTATAAGTCGGGGCCCACCTGTAGATTTTTGGGGTTCCTTTTCAAAACTCTCTTGCATTCCCTGGGTTGCTTTTAGGGATCCCTAAATGGGGGGGGGGGGTTTGGTGGTGGAATTCAGCCTAAGATTTAACCAGGTTTGCCTTTGGATACGTGGGACGCCCTGGTGGAGTTGGGGTGCTCTCTTCTCCTCCTGGGGAGGAATTTGCAGAGAGGTTTTCCTGATTTAGTTGCTGCGTTGAGGCCAGGAGCTGGAGGGACCCCCCCTCCCCCTTATCCCCCTCCCCACCGCCTGTGGCTTTCTGAAGAAAGAGAAGCTGCATCTGTTATCAAACAAAGACCCCCCCCCCCCACCAGCCAAAGAGGGCGGACTGGGAGGGGGCCCATCTCCAGGACAACCAGCTCCAGCCAATCCACGCTGATCTTTCAGAGCAAAGCCCCCCCCTTCCCTCCCACCCCCACTTCTGGAGAAAGGTCAATTAAGCTATTTGTAATGGGGTCGCAGCTGTTTGATTCATTCTTGGCTGACTTTGGGCTGGCTGCGATAGTTTTGGCTCAAACTTCAGGAACTTGGGTGGAGGCGTCTTCTAAAGTGGGGGTGGGGGGGGAAGAGGCCCAGCTGGCAGGCTCCTTTCCTTGCTTGGCTGCCTCCCCCCCCAAACAGCTGAGAAACCAAAGCAATTTGGGATTTCTGGGGATCTGGAGAGCAGGAGAAAGGGAGAAGGTTCAAGGACGGATGCTATACAGGGTCAGCTGCAACTTGTCCTCTTCTAAGAGAGAGTCTCTACTCCTTCACACGTTCCTGCAGCTGACCAAGAACAGCTTCATCAGACCAAGACCTTAATCAGAATAGAAGGTGGAAGGGACCTTGGAGGTCTTCTAGTCCAACCCCCTGCTCCAGCAGGAGACCTATACAATTCTGGACAAGTGGCTGTCCAACCTCTTCTTAAAAGCCTCCAGTGATGAAGCACCCACAAAATCTGGTGGCAAGCTGTTCCACTAGTTAATTGTCCTCAATTCCAGGTTGCTTCTCTCCTCGATTAGTTTCCATCCATCCATTGTTTCTTGTCTGGTCTTGGGAGTCCATCTTGCTGGCAGTGGGGGGGTTCCCCCCACCTCTTTCCTCCCCTTCTCATCGGTTGAGGAACTCTGTAGTAGCAAATCCAGGATAAAAGTTTGGCTTTTATTTTTATAACTTCTCTCTGAACTGAAGGGATTCTTGGCTGCCCCGTTGACTTTTCCTGCAGATGTTGCCTGTTTCACTATCTCCTCAGTGGGGCCTTTGGTGCAAGATTTGCACACTCCCACTCCCACTGTCCCTGGCACACACACACACACACACACACAGAGAGAGAGAGAGAGAGAGAGAGATCTATACACCCACCGGTTGTGTCTGTTGTATCTTTTGGCCTCTGGGTTGTGTTTGTGAAGAAGCCTTGAGATGCATCTGGAGAGAGAATTTGTTTTGGAGGTTTTAGGCGCCTGGTTATCTTGCAAAAAGTTTGCTGACGGATTTTGCACATCCTTCCTGGAGGAACCAAATGTCTTTTTTTCTGCTTTTTCTCCCTAGTGTGTCGAGATTTCGCTGTGCGGGAGGATCACACGTTGGCCCACAGCCTGCAGGAACAGGAAAGTAAGTTACACCTAAGAAAACTTGCTTGTTACTCTCTTACTTCACACGTGGTGTATTTTGCACTTTTCTTCTCTTGCTTCCGCTTCTGCTCGGCTGGATTTTAATCGAATTTTTAATCCGGTTGGCATTTCTGTCTCTTTATTGAGATGCACGGTATGTACCCAGTTTGTTTATCAGTTCATCTGAAGCAGCTCACAAAATTAATTAGAACCATCGATAAAAAGATTTTTTTTTTAAAATTGCAAATTCTTTAAAGAGGATGGATGCCATGTAAGAAAAATAAGGTACAGGAAGGGCTCAATTTTACGACTGGTCACTTAGCAATTGTTTAAAGTTACGACGGACGTCCCCAGGGATACTTCCAACCGAGTTCTTGAGTTCCGAGGGCCACACACAAACACACACACACACACATCTCCCGGTGTGGTCACATGACTGCATTTTGGGGCCCTTGGCAAACGGCATATTTTTATGGCTGTTTGCAGTATCCCATGGTCATGTGATCACATTTTGTGATTTATTTTTTTGTTGGCCAAAAATCTGGAATTTAGTTCCAGTTTTGAGGAGCAGGGAGAGGGGGAAGAGAAGGAGGAGGAAGAGGAAGGACTGTGGGGTCCTAGTTGCTCTCTGAGCTTGTTGGTTTTTTGGCAGACGTTTCATGACCTAAAGAGGGAACATCATCAGTGCTAGAAGGAAGGGGGGGTTTGCGGAGAGAGAGAGGAGGACTGTGAGGTCCTTGGTGCCCTCTGACCTTGGTGTCAAGTTTCCGAAAGATGCCCTAATTAATTCATGAGCCATGAGCCAAACTTCAAAAGAAATACAGTCATTTATTAGGAGCAACATTCCGGCAATACTCGGATGCAGTTAGGACTGATCCCACGTAGATTTACGTTCCCCTATGACCCTGTCTCTCCCCTCCTCTCTGGCCATGTCATAAATCACATTCTCCAATTAAGCACTTTGGCTGGCTGTGAAACCTAACACCCTCCTTCTGATTGCGGTCAGGAAGAATGTATGGAATTCACTTCACTTCTCCCTCCCTCCTGCTCATGGCAACTTGAAAGCTTTGCAAGTTGACATTCGGCTCCCCTCACTTCCCGAGGGCAACCTGCACAAAGCAAAACAATTTGAGTACAGATGCAGAGTTTAGGGATGTGGACCCCCCCCCCACCAAGCTTGTTTGGATTTTCTGCATGAAATTTGGCTATAATTTGCAAGTTGACATTTGGTGTTTTTCTTCCAGACGTTTCACGACCCAGCTAGAGAACATCATCAGGGCTAGAAGGGAGGGGAGGGGGAGGAGGATGGACGGCATGATGAGTGCTGTCCTTTAGGATTTAATGGCCTGCTTTGTGCCTCTTTCCAGTCGAGCACCACTTGGCCACCAACATCCAGCGAAACCGCCTGGTCAAACATGACTTACAAATGGCCAAAAAGCTGCAGGAGGAGGAAGACCGGAAGGCCAGGGCCCGCCTGCAGGAGCAGCACAAGAACTTGTGAGTGGGGGTGTGTGGGGGCTGCAATGGGGGGGCTTTTGTGGGGAGGGGCCACGGAAGATCCCCGAGGACTCACCCTCTGCACTGAGCCATGGGAGGGGGGCTGGATGTGACCCCACTTTTCTTGTGATGTGAAAAATCCCCTCCAGCCACGCTCTTCAGATTTTGGCCAGAAATGGGGCAGGGTGGTCAGTCTCCTGTCTGAGTTGGGGAAACTCACAAAACTCAAATTACGGCATTCTGTGAAGAGGCTGTTTTCGACCAACTTTTTGAAAGTTTTTCAGGAGGAGGAGGAGGAGGAGGAGGTGGAGGAAGACTGGGGGCTCCCGGGTGCTCTCTGAGCTTTGGTGGTTTCCTTGCAGATGTTTCATGACCCAACTAGGGAACATCATCAGTGCTAGAAGGGAGTGGGGCTTGTGGGGAGGAAGAGGAGGACTGTAGAGTCCTTGGTGTTCTCTGAGTTTGGCTGTTTTCTTGCAGATGTTTCATGACCCAACTAGGTAGCATCATCAGTGCTAGAAGGGAGAGGGGCTTGTGGGGGGGGGGAGGAGGAGGAGGAGGAGGAGAACAACTGTGGGGTCCTTGGTGCTCTCTGAGCTGGGTTGTTTCCTTGCAGATGTTTCGTGACCCAGCTAGGGAACATCATCAATGTTAGTGAGTGGGACTAGGACTAGCACTGATGATGATATCTAGTTGGGTCATGAAACGTCTGCAAGGAAACGACGCAGCTCAGAGAGCACCAAGGGCCCCTCAAATCAGCCTCTCTCCTCTCTGCTCCCCCATAAAAGGTTTTGCAACCACTCTAATGCTCAGCACACTTGGGAGTAGCAATCCGCACACTCCCCACAACACCAGATTGAAAGGGGTCCGTCTTATTAAAATGGCACCGTGGCAGTGGTGAAATGTAAAATTTGTTACTACCGGTTCTGTGGGCGTGGCTTGGGGGGTAATGTGACTGGGTGGGCGTGGCCAATATTTTTTTAACTTTTAAAACCAACTTTTAAAACTTCGGTGAAGAGGTTGTAAAAAATGCTTTCAAAAGGCTCTGACGATCCAAGCTGAGTTGCCTGATCGACAGAGGCTTTTTTTTTCTTTTAAAAGCCTCTGCCGATCAGGCAACTCAGCTTGGATCGTCAGATGCTTTTAAAAGCCTTTGATGATCCCAGCTGAGCCGTGCAATCATCAGAGGCTTTTTTTTTTACTTTTAAAAGCATTTTTTCAGCCAAAGAGGTTGTAGAAAAAATGCTTTTAAAAACAAAAACAAAAAGCCTCTGATGATTATGTGGCTCAGCTGGGCCTGGGGGGGGGGGGGGCGTTCAGGGATTTTTGCTACCGGTTCTCCGAACCACCTGCCTCCACCGCTACCGGATAGGGCGATCCGGTCCGAACTGGGAGCATTTCACCCCTGCACCGTGGCGTAAGTAAACACAAGGTCTTGCAACCCTGGAGCCCCTCGTCTTTTAATTCTGTGCGTGGGACTGGAAAAGAGGTGGGTGGGTCTCCTGTAATTGTGAATATCATTCATGTCATGCAGGAGTTACACAGAGTTTAAGACGGGATGTAAATTGAACAGTAAAATAAATATAATGAAGTCATATTGTGGCATGAAATAATCAACACCGTATCCGGCAGCCGTTAAAAAAGGGGGCAAATTCCGTGTTTTGGAAATGTCATAATGCCTTTTTTTGGGGGGGGGGAGGGAAATAAATAAATATCGGGGTGCAGTTGTGAGTGTTGCATTTGGAAAAGGATGTAAGGAAGAACTGGGAAGAAGTGCAGAAAAGAAAAGAAAAAGTGCAAGCAATGGTAGAAGGCCGGGCTGGGGGTTTGGCTGGCGGATGGAGACGTGGCTTGGCCTGGGAGGAGATTTCGGCTCATGATCTCAGCCGTCCGACTTCAAGATGAGCAGTGTTTTCATCCAGAGCCAAAGAGGTCATGTAACCCCCCACCCACCCACCCACCCACCCAATGCAAATGCAAGCGGGGCCTGGGTGAGCATCTGGCCTAGATCAGAAAAGCTGCTTGCTTGCTGCTCCCGAACAGGCCAGGTTGAAGGCGCAGAGGTTTGCGTCAGTCTTGGAGGTGCATCCCAGCTTCATAGCTGCAGGACATGAAAAAAGGGGGTGGGAGGAGATCAGAGAAGCCCATATTTCATAAGAACCGTTGACATGGCTCTTAGTCGGTCTGAAGGGAGAAAGACTTGACTTCCGAAGCTTTTGCTCCTCCTAACGTAGGCTGAGCAGATGGTGGGTGGGCACTTCGGGGTCTTTAGAGAGAAAGGAGGGGTTGGGGGGGTTTCTTCTCCATCTCTTTCTCTTCCTTCCTTCCTTCCTTCCTTCCTTCCTTCCTTCCTTCCTTCCTTCCTTCCTTCCTTCCTTCCTTCCTTCCTTCTAGCCCTGATGATGTCCTCTAGTTGGGTCATGAAATGTCTGCAAGAAAACCACCAACCTCTGAGACCACCAAGGACCTCACAGTCCTCCCTCCTCCATCTCCATCTCCTTCTCCCTTCTAGCCCTGATGATGTTCCCTAGTTGGGTCATGAAACGTCTGCAGGAAAACCACCAAGCTCAGAGAGCACCAAGGACCCCACAGTCTTCCTCCCGTTCCTTCTCCTCCTCCTCCTCCTCTTCCTCCCACCACTGTCACCATTTCTTTCTCCTCCTTTTCCACCCCTTTCTTCTCCTCTTCCTCACCCCTTTCTCTCTCTTCTCCTCCCCTATTTCTCCTTCTCCTCTTCCTCCTCCATGGCTGGCTGGGGAATTCTGGGAGTTGAAGTCCACAGATCTTAAAAGTGGCAAGGGTGGGGCAGCCCTGTCTCCCGCGATTCTTGCCCCCGAACAGCCTCTCTCATCTCGAAGGCCTTGGTGGAGGTTCTTCTGAGCCGAGGCATAAACCTCCCGTTGCCCTCGTCTCCCGTCCCCCACTTGGTGCTCCCAATCTGTCCCCCACCCACTCACAAAGACCCTCTGGTCCAATTTTCAGAGAACAGCAAGACTGCGAGATCGCCCAGGAAATCCAAGTCAAACTGGTGATCGAAGCCGAAGAGCAACGACGCCAGGAAGAGGATGATGAGGTAAGCTTCACCCGGGCGTGGAGACCCATCTCCTGGAGCAGGGGGTCTCCAACCTTGGCAACTTTAAGCCTGGTGGGCTTCAAATCTCAGAATTCCCAAGCGGCCAAGGTTGGAGGCCCCTGTCCTGGAGGAAGCCAACAGGTGCCCCCACTGTTGCCCCACAAGCTTCGAAGAGTAGATTTGCCTGTGGAGGCACACAGGTAGTCCTCGACTTGCAACCGTTCATTTAGTGACCAAAGTCGCAACGGTGCTGGAAAAAGTGACTTATGACCGTTTTTCCACACTGACAACCGTCGCAGCCTCCCCGGCGTCACACGATCAAAATTCAGAGGCTTGGCAACTGGCATGTTCTTATGACGGTTGCGGTGTCCCTGGGTCACATGATCCCCTTTTGTGACCTCCTGATGAGCAAAGTCAACCGGGAAGCCGGATTCACTTAACAACCATGTGACTCACTTAACAACTGCAGTGATTCAGTTCAACAAGTCTGGCAAGAAAGGTCGTAAAATGGGACCAAACTCACTTAACGAATGTTTCACTTGCCCACATACATTTTGGGCTCCATTGAGGTCGTAAGTTGAGGACTACCTGTAGAGAGAAGATCTCCAGGTGGGGGTGGGGGTCCTCAGGAAGACCTGGGGGGGGGTTGGTAGGGTCCTCTTGGCATCCGTGTCAACAGAACAGAACAGAGTCAGAAGGGCCCTTAGAGGTCTACTAGTCCAACCCCCCCTGCTTGTGCAGGAAACCCCCAGGAAGAAAAAGACGGAGACCCAACTGGATGTCCAGGGAAACCGTAGAGGGTAGAGGATCCCTTCACTTGTGCTTCGTTCCAGGACATCGCGCGGATTCTGCAGCAGAAGGAGCTTCAGGAGGAGAAAAGGAGGAAGAAGCTGCCCCCGGATCCCTTGCGCCTGGCTGCTTCTGAAGAAGCCCCCTGCCCGGAGAACAGAGGTGAGTGGAGGGGCTGCTCCCCCGTCTCCCCCCTCGGTTGCCCTTTGACCTTTGACCTCTGCAAGGGGAGCCTTTTGGGTGTGGCAGTTAAGATGGGGTGTCTCCCTCAGGCCTAGGAAGAAGGCCATGGGTCAAGGGAAGGGGCTTCTCCATCTGGATGCCCAGGGGTCCAGGCTTCTCAAAGAAATCAACACACACACACACACACAGGCACCCCCACCCCCCTCAGATCTTGCCAAATGCCCAGCTGTAGCCCAGGAGCCCAAAGAGGGCTCAGAATTACAGAATAGCAGAGTTGGAAGGGATTTTAGAGGTCTTCTAGTCCACCCCTCTGCCCAAGATCATAAAAACATGTGGCTGGGAGGGACCTTTGAGTGTAAGCAGTTGCTGGCTGGAGAATTCTGGGAGTTGAAGTCCACGAGGCTTCAAACTGGCCCAGGTTGGAGACCCCTGCCTTAGACCTCCCTGGGGACCGAGAGGGACGCCGGACTCTGCTTGGCGTGAATGAACTCCACCAGAGCCAACTGGACAGACCCTGGGAGGGGCGAGGTTTTTCTGTGCTTCCTTCCGATCTCCCCCCGAAAGCCACTCTCGGTTTGATCAACATCGCTGCTGCAGGATGGAAATCGCCTCTCGGATTGTGATTTACGCGCTGGCGCTCTTCCTCCTCCTCCTCCTCCTCCTCCTGGAAGGGCTCACGTGATCAAAGGAACTTCCACAGCTGGGATTTAATGAACTTGGTGGGAAATTCGCTTGGTGTGGTTTCTCCGGCCGGCCTCTTTAATTGTGCATCTGTGCAACACATTCTGCTTTTCTTCGTCTTGGGTGTGTCGGGAAAAAAGGCAGATCATGGCTGGTAGCCTTCAAACCCAAATGGAGGATGCACCTTTTCCTCAAGAGCTGGATCGCTTCGGTGCTAATGGCCAGAGCTCACCTGCTGCCGGGCTCTCCTTGGCCACCTGTGCGGGTAGCATTCACCTGGCTGATGTGGCAATCCAGCCCTTTCCTGACTCCTGCTGCCTTTTCCGCTGGGCTTGTGGCCGTCTGCCTGCTTTGCAGTTGTGGCGTCTTTCCCATCCTTGCTCGTCCTTCCTTCGCTTGGACTCTGCCCCGAGCGTAGGATTATGTACCCCCACCAATAAAGGAGAATATTTGTAGTTCTGGGTTGAAAATTGGGGTGCTTGGTACTCTCTGAGCTTGGCGGTTTTCTTGCAGACGTTTCATGACCCAGCTAAGTAACGTCATCAGTGCTAAACATGGGGTGGGGGGTGGGGGGGGAGGGATTCATGAAACACGCGGTAGATTTGTAGGAAAATGGCTCGCCACATACGAAGTGCTTCCCAGAAAATAACTTCTACCCTCTTCAAATAAATAAATACATTGGGAAGTGATAATGGATGAATAATAGTGTCATAGCTTTGGAGTTCTTTTTTTATTTACAAAGCTGACATCAACTGTTAAGGTATTATTCTTCCTACATTTCTCTCAAAAATGTGCATTGAGGATGTTACCAAGCTGGATCATGAAACGTCTGCAAGGAAACAGCACGGATAGCCCGAAGGACTCCCACAGTCCTCCTCCTCCTCCTCCTCCTCTTCTGCTTCTCCTCCTCCTCCTCCTCCTCCTCCTCTTCTGCTTCTCACCTCCTCCTCCTCCTCCTCCTCCTCTCCTCCTCCTCTTCTGCTTCTCCTCCTCCTCCTCCTCCTCCTCCTCCTCCTCTTCCTCTTCCTCTTCCTCTTCCTCCTCCTCCTCTTCCTCCTCCTCCTCTTCTGCTCCTCCTCCTCCCTCTTCCTCCTCCTCCTCTTCTGCTCCTCTTTCTCCTCCTCCTCCTTTTCTCCTCCTCTCCCTCCTTTTTCTCCACTCCACAAACCGCACTCCCTTCTAGCACTGAAGATATTACCTAATTTGGCAATGAAATGTCTGCAAGAAAACCATCAGACTTAGAGAACCCCCAAAACCCCACAGTTCCCCTCCTCCTCCTCCTCTCTGCAAACCCCCCTCCCTTCTAGTCCTGACAATGTCCCCTACTTAGGGGCAGGAAAACCTCCAGGCTCAAGAGTGCCCCCAGGGCCCCTCACCTCCATCCTGAGCTACAAATATTCTCCTTTACTGGTTCCGGCTTCTTTTGCATTCTTTCGCTGCTTCTGGGCGATCTTGCCAAGGTGGTATTTACAAACCTAACATGTGGTGCCAAATTTTCCCTTGCTGCATGCGCACACGCCGATTGGGGGCCGTGGGGGGACCCAAACCTCTCAGTCCATACCCAACAACGCAGCTTGTCAATGGAGATTCTCCATCCCCAAAGTGCTTTTTTTCCAAAATGCAACTAGACTTTCTTGGTGTTTTTTTCCTCTCTGAAAATGTTTCTCTTCTCATTCAAGAAGCTTCTTCAGGTGAAGCAAAAAGGTTTTCAAAGGAAAAACCCCAAGAAAGTCCAGTTGCCTTTTGGGGAAAAAAGACAGCCATGAGTGACTTTTGACCTCTTGAGCAAGAAAGCAAATCTTTTGGCCTGCGTTGGCTCCCCCCAACAATCCCCCTGGGAATCTCACACGTGGGGCCATTAGAAAGTGAGCAGCAAACAGCCTTGGATTTCAGTCCTTGGACGTGGTGATAATTGAATTGCTGCATTGTCCTGTCCGGGCAAGGAAGGGACCCCCTTTACTGGAGACGGAGAGAGTCCTGGGTTCAACGTTTAGGATTGTGGAGAAGTGACGGAGATTTTGCTCTCGGGGAGGGGAGGGGCCGGGGGCCCTGCAGGAAATTTGCTGCTCATCTGCATGCCTTCCCTGCCCCTCCAAGCTTTCTCCCCTTGGCTCCCCCCCCCCCCCCCCCCCCCCCCCGTGTAGCCTGATAGGTACCTGCCATTAACCCAGGTCACTAACTCACCTCCCTTGTCTGTCTTGCCGCTTCATTGTTGCCCAGACCGCTTGTCCGGGACTCCCTGGGAACCGGGGCCCAAAGACCCTCGGCCCGGGAGCGCTGAGGGGCAGCCCCCCCAAACGAGGGAGCCTTGGAGGGGGCCCCCGCTGGTTCCAGAGGGTCTTGACCTGGAGACTTGGGAGAGTGGCGAGGAAGCGAAGAAGAGCAAGGATGGCCGGAGGAAGAACCGGGAGAAGCAGCGGGAGAGGAAGAAAGACGGACATGAGAGGCCTCCCCGTCACAGGGGTCCTCCAGAGGTGGAGGAGGAAGAGGAAGATGAAGCCCCCGACAGGGCCTGCAGTCGCCCCAACCGGGGCCAGGACAAATCTCGGGGGCCACATTTGCTGGTCTTGGATGCAGAGCCACCCCGGGCCAGTCGAGGGACCAGGCCTCGGAGCCACGAAAGACCCCAAAGGACGCCCCCTCCTCTTGTGGGCCAAGAAGAGGAATGGAGAAGTAGGCATGGCAGCCGTGGGCCCCGAGGGCAGGGGGAACGGGGGCCGACCCCCAACGGGAGAGAGAGGCAAGCGGAAAGACGGTACGGCCAAAGCCCTTCTCCCAATCCGGACCGTGGTGGGCTGCCACATCAGGAGGATCGTGGTTCCCCAAGGACCCCTGCCCATCACGCCCAGCACTACGACTCGGACGCTGCCCACCGGCACCGGCCCAGGAGGGAGGCTGGAGAAAGGGAGCCCAGGGGGGCACGGGCCTCCCCCACCTCCCACCGCAGGGAGGGCAGGGACGGGGAAGGCAGGCGCCTCCGGAATCCAGGTAATGGGGCCACGGCCAAAGGGGTCTTTGTGCTCGAGGCTGGGCCTTCTGTCTTCCGCCTTTCCCCCTTGGGCCAAAAGGGTGCCAGCTGCCAGTCGAGGAATCCTAAACCCTCCCAGGAAGGGAGGATTCCACTAAAATTGCCAGTCAGGAAGAAGGTTGGGTAGAGTTTTTTTCCCCTGTCCCTAAGTTTGCTCTAGCAACACCAGGGCTTCTGTTACAGGTGTGATGGATGTTCCCTGTTAGGGAGCTTGAAGTCTGTCTCCCTCCCTTCTTCTGAACTGAAATGGGGATGAGTCTCAGCCTGGAAGCCAAAGCAGGTCCTTCAGCCCCATAAGCAGGCTCTGGTACAGTCCCTAGTGCATTGTGGGGTCCTTGGGGCTCTCTGAGCTGGGTGGTTTTCTTGCAGACGTTTCATGACCCAACTAGGGAACATCATCAGTGATGGAAGGGAGGGAGAGGAGGAAGATGAGAAGGAGGAGGAGGAGGAGGAAGAAGACTGTAAGGCCCTTGGTGCTCTCTGAACTGGGTGGTTTTCTTAAGAGATGTTTCATTACCCAGCTAGAGTATAACATCAGTGTTAGAAAGGAGAGGGAGTTACGGAGCAGAGGAGAAGGAAAAGAGAGGACGATTAGAGTCATTAACTATAAAATGCTTTCTTGTGGTTGTGACAATTCCTGTGTGTTTCACAGAATAGCAGAGTTGGAAGGGACCTTGGAGGTCTTCTAGTCCAACCCCCACAACCTCTTGGAGACAAGTCATCCCACGGGTTAATTCTTCTCCCTGTCAGGAAATTTAGCTGCTAAGGAAAGGGCCAATGTCCGGGTTCACCCAAGCCGGACACCAGCATGGATGGCCACCATCCCGTCTTCTGCCCGAGCGCCACAATTTAATGATCTGATGGTTTAATGAACCATAATAATGACAATTTGGGGGATCCATCCAAGGAAGGAGAGAGAAGCCAGCAGATGGCCCCCTTCCTGTCCCGAGCTCAGCAAGGGGATGGCGGCTGGTCCCCTGCTTGGGTGGGAAAAAGCACGGAGACTTTCTCCTTTCCAAAGCTGGGAAAGAGACGCCAGACTCTTGCTGCAAATGGGTCCCAGACGGGGCAAATCCCCTTCCCTCTTTGTTCCCAGCAAAATCTTTTTGGATGGAACCTGGTTGCATCTGGCCCATTCATGCAAACCCCCAGCTTCTGTTCTCCTTCCAATTCGGTGACGTTTTGCAATGGCTGTCGGCTTTGCAGTGGCCCCCGTAGGCCTATAAATAGACCCTCCCACCCCCCACCTCTTCCTGTAGGCCTGGCTTCTCCCTGGGCCCACGCCAAGGGATGGGGGTGTCCTGGGAAAGTTGTCTCGCTCTCTGTAGTCTCGGAGTTCTTCCTCAGAGACGCTGCTAAGTGGAGGCAGCTGGGCTGTTCACGCCTTCTGTTCAGCAGATGCTGCTGAGGGCTCCGTTGCTGTACAAGAGGGGTGCCAGGTTTTTTTTGGGGGGGGGGATGGCCTGCTTTCCCTCTGAAAGGTCTGTTCAGGGGTCTTCTCCATGCTGCTGGCTGGTCAGGAAAGAGGTGTCAGGGTTCCAAGTAAGACCCCCAACGAAAGAAAACTCCAAGGCTTGAAGTTCCTCAAAGTTCCATTTTATTAGAGAGGTCATATTGGCACAACTGGGAAAACCCGAATCTGAAAGCTTCCAGGTTTTCCCCACCTAAAAGAAAGTCCAGGTCCCTTCCCCTCTACCCACCTGTCCATCACATGGCCCAATCCAAGCAGCGTCCCAACTGGAGATGCCTCCCAGTTCCAGCCCTCCAGGTGCAGGGCAAGATGGCCTTGACTCTCTGAGAAAGGAATGTTATTATGACTACATATCACCCTGGCTCCATACAATCCCCCCTCCCAGTTTCCCACCGCACTAAATGTGGCAAGCCTGAAGGCCCAAGGCAAAAGATGGCTTCCAGGCCTGACAAGAGGTGGTGCACAGGAGAAGGGCAGAAGTTTTTTCACACTTACGACCGTTGAAACATCCCCGTGGTTATGTGATCGAAATTCAGACCGTTGGCAACTGTCTCGCATTTACGACCATCACAATGTCCCAGGGTGATGTGATCCCCCTTTGCAACCTTTTGACAAGCAGAGTCAACTGGGGGAGGAGGGAGCCAGGTTCACTTAATGATGGTGTGACTAAGCTGCAGCGATTCACTTAACAACCGTGCCGAGAAAGGTCGTAACATGGGGCCAAACTCTCTTAGCAATCATCCCACGTAGCAACCTGTTTTGCAGGGACAAAACCCCGGGGGTCAAAGGAAGACGTCTACGCCAGACCCCGAGTAGGGGCTTCCCGGGACCCCGAAGCCTACGATGCCGAGATTGCCTGGAAGTTACAGGAAGAGGAACTGCTGGTGAGCAGGGCCAACTCTGCCGTTACAGGGGGGAATCCTGAGACGAACCCCCCCCATTTAATTTTCCCATTTTCAGCTGCTTTGGTGCCCTTCTTTGATTTTCTCCACGGTTCATGGCAGAAAAGAGAATAGCATCCCGGGCATGGGTGGGTGGGTAGGGGGTCTTCTCTGGGAGTTGAAGAGAGTGAGCGATGCAGGGCCTGATTGAAAGAGAAAATGGGAAAGGGGCTGTGTGGCCCCAAACCTAATTTTCCAGATATTGGAGAACAAGGGGAGATTTCCTTTTTTGTTGGGAGGGGGGTATCTAATTTTATTTTATTCAAGAAGAAATAGAAATACAAAATTCAAAAAAAAATAGATGCATAAAAGATAAGCAAAGAAAGAAAAAATAAAGCAGACAATACATTACACAAAAAAGTGCGTTAAAAAACACAAACACATAAACAAATTTTTCCTTCCCCCTCCCAAAATAGTTGAATATCGATGAATATATTACAAGAATATTAGTTTAACCCTCCTTGCGAAATGGGCCCAAAGCAAGTTTTCAAACTTCTAATTCGACATGCAAATTATTAATCTGTCACCTATCTACTATATAGATGACAAAATACTTAACAGGTAAAGCATCGGAAGGAATAAAACTCAGAAAAACAAGAATAAAGTTTCAAAACCGTCTGCTAACTTTACTGTGTACAACTCATAGAAAATTTATGATGGCTTCTTATCTATCCTCAATCAAGGGTAGAGCCGAAACCCCAGTACGTTGATCGGAAGGGCTGGGAAAGGGGTAGAATTTTTCGGAGGTTAAGAGGCCAAGAGAGAATTTCCAAGTGGAGCCACAGTGGGTTGGAGGGAGCCAGAAGCAGAGGAGGGGAGGTGGGGAGAAAGAGTTGAAAGCATGGGTGAAGAGGGGGGGGAACCTTGGAGGTCTGCAGGAAACAGTTTCCCAATCTTCTGTTTTTAAAGTTTCCCTTTTTTTCTTTGCTTTTTAGGCCAGCCAGGTGGACAGGAGGGCCGCACAAGTTGCTCAAGACGAGGTAGGTAAACAACAGAATCACAGAGTTGGAAGAGATCTGGGAAATACCTTAATACAGAATAGAGTTGGAAGGGGCCTTGGAGGTCATCTAGTCCAATCCCCCATCGTAGTAACATAAGGGTTAGCGTCTACATTGAAGGGAATAACAGAATACCAGTGTTGGAAGGGACCTTGGAGGTCTTCTCGTCCGACCCCCTGCTCAAGGAGGAGACTCTTTACCATCCCAGACAAATGGTTGTCTCTTCTTTAAAATTCCAGTGTTGGAGCATTCACAACTTCTGGAGGCAAGTAGTTCCACTGATTATTTGTTCTCACTGTCGGGAAGTTTCTCCTTAATTCCAGGTTGCTTCTCTCCTTGATGAGTTTCCACCCATTGCTTCTTGTCCTGCCTTCAGGTGCTTTGGAGAATAGATGGACCCCCTCTTCTTTGTGGCAACCCCTGAGATATTGGAACACTGCTATCATGTCTCCCGTAGTCCTTCTTTTCATTAAACTAGGCACACCTAGTTCCTGCAACCGTTCTTCATATGTTTTAGCCTCCAGCCCCCTAATCCTCTTTGTGGCTCTTCTCTGCACTCTTTCTAGAGTCTCCGCATCTTTTTTACATCGTGGCGACCAAAACTGGATGCAGGATTCCAAGTGTGGCCTCACCAAGGCCTTATAAAGTGGTATTAACACTTCACGTGATCTTGATTCTCTCCCTCTGTTGATGCAGCCCAGGACTGTGTTGGCTTTTTTGGCAGCTGCTGCACACAGCTGGCTCAGATTTAAGTGATTGTCCAGTAGGACTCCAAGATCCCTCACAGTTACTGCTGTTGAGCCAGGTTTCACCTTATCTGGACCTGCCTATTTGGGTTTTTTTTTCTTGCCTAAGTATAAAGAAAGCCTTACTTTTCTCACCACTGAATTTCATTTTGTTGGCTAGGGCCCAATGTTCAACTCCGTCAAGATCCTTCTGCAACTTGAGCCTTTATCTTCTGGGGTGTTGGCTATTCCTGCCAGGAAAGAGGAGGGGGATCTTGATCTGGACTTGCTGGCTATTTTCCAGGGGCCCCTGGGTCTTCAGAGGCTCCATCCCATGTGCATTGTTCCCCTTAATGCAGTATTGTATCATTCCTTGGTCATTTCTGGGTGTGTGGACTTCAACTCCCAGAATTCCACTTGCCTGCATGGCCACAAATAAGAATTCTGGGAGTTGAGGTCCCAACAATGATGAGAAACAGAAAGCCCTTTACAGATAGTCCTCAACTTATGACCACAGTCGAGCCCAACATTTCTGTTCTTAAGTGAGACATTTGTGAGTTTTGCCCCATTTTACGACCTTTCTTGCACCGCTGTTAAGTGAATCACCACTGTTGATAAATTAGTAATCTGGTTGTGAAGGGAATCTGGCTTCCCCATGGACTTTGCTTGTCAGAAGGTCGCAAAAGAGGGAATCAACTTGACCCCGAGACACTGCGACCGTCATAAATATGAGTCAGTTGCCAAACATCTGGATTTTGATCATATGATCATGGGGATGCTACAAAGGTCACAAGGGTGAAAAACGGCCGTAAGTCATTTTTTCCCCAGTGTCGTCGTAACTTTGAGCGGTCACTAAATGAACTGTTGTAAGTCGAGGGCTATTTGTACTTAGGCAGGAAAAGCCAGGTGCAGAATAGATTGCGCCTGGCTCAACAGTAGCAACTGTGGGAGAGATTGTGGTGGCTATAGGGCAGTGTTTCTCAACCTTGGTAGCTTGAAGATGGGTGGACTTCAACTCCCAGAATCCCCCAGCCAGCAGCGCTGGCTGGGGGATTCTGGGAGTTGGAGTCCACCCATCTTCAAGCTTCCAAGGTTGAGAAACACTGCTATAGGGGATTCTGGGAGTTGGAGTCCACCCATCTTCAAGCTTCCAAGGTTGAGAAACACTGCTATAGGGGATTCTGGGAGTTGGAGTCCACACATCTTAAAAAGTTGACGAAGTTGGAAAATCTTAAAAAGGCTGAACTCTTCCGTAGAGCTCATGTCTGCCACGGTATCCTGGTGACTCACTTTTCTTGGCCGCAAGGCAGATGTGGTTTCTCAGCTGTGGTCTTGGTGGACGACACCCAACCATTTAGGGAAGGAAAACCAAAAATGCTGGTGAATTACTCCAGATGGGAGAATAAATGTGTCAGTCAAAAGGCCCGTGAGATTCGGCTTAAGCATGAAAGCAAGGCAGGTGGGGGTAAACATTCTCCATTCTGGTGGAATCTGGAATCTTTTCTTGCCACAATTGTTAAGTAAGTCCCACAACGGAGGGAAACTAATCAAGGAGAAACCCCACATAGAAATATCCTGCAAGAGAGAAAAGATTCTATTCTATTCTATTCTATTCTATTCTATTCTATTCTATTCTATTCTATTCTATTCTATTCTATTCTATTCTCCAACTCTGTTATTCTCTGTAGTCTTTGGACCTCCAAAGACCTTTCTGAGTTTTATTATTCTGTTAAAAAAAATTATGGCACAGGGACCAAAAAGGAAGACTAGGGGTAGCATGAGAGCAGTCTTCCAATATTTGAGGGGCTCCTACAAAGACAAAAGGGGTCCACCTATTCTCCAAAGAACCAGAAGGCAGGAGAAGAAAAAAATGGATGGAAACTCATCAAGGAGAGAAGCAACGTAGAGCTAAGGAGGAATTTCCTGATCTTGAGAACGATTAACCAGTGGAACGACTTGCCACTAGAAGTTGTGGGCGCTCCATCACTGGAGGCTTTTAAGAAGAGACTGGACTGCCATTTGTCTGAAATGATATAGGATTTCCTGCTTGAGTATGGGGTTTGGCTAGAAGACCTCAATGGTCCCTTCCAGATTCTATTCTATTCTATTCTATTCTATTCTATTCTATTCTATTCTATTCTATTCTATTCTATTCTATTCTATTCTATTCTATTCTATTCTATTCTATTCTCCAACTCTGTTATTCTCTGTAGTTCAGAAACAGAGAATCAGAGAGGTGAGCCAAAAAAAAGAAGGAAAAAAAGGATAATTTGTTTAAACTGTTTCCCGCAGGAAATAGCTCGCCTTCTGATGGCAGAGGAGAAGAAAGCTTACAAAAAGGCCAAGGAACGGGAGAAGAAGAGGCCGGATCAAGACTGGAAGGTGAGAAATGATTCAGTTTGGGAAGAGGTTTCAGCTTCTGCTGGAAAGGAAAAACGGGGGAGGGGAGGGAGGACGTACTTATCCCCTGTACAAGAATTATGGTTTTTAATAGAAGAAAATCTTTAGCTTTGAACTTTGGGGGCTTTGCTGTTCTCTAAACTTGGGGGGTTTTTTGCAGACGTTTCATGACCTAACTAGATAACAGCATCAGTGTTAGATGGGAATGGGTTTGCGAGGAGGAGGAGGACTGTGGGGTCCTTGATGCTCTCTGAGTTTGGTGGGTTTTTTGGCAGACGCTTCATGACCTAACTAGGTAAGGGCATCAGTGCTAGAAGGGGGGGAGGGTTTGCAGGGGAGAGGGGGAAAGGAGAAGGAAGAGGAAAAGGAAGACTATGAGATCCTTGGTGCTCTCTGAGCTTGGTGGTTTCCTTGCAAACGTTTCATGACCCAACTAGGTAACTTCATCAGTACTGTAGGGAGTGGGCTGGTGGTGGAGGAGGAGGACAAAGAGAAGGACTGGAGTTTATCAGTGCTAGAAAGGAATGGGATTTGCTCTCTTTATGAATTATGCTTTCATAGATCATCTCTATTCCCCGTCATGTTTGGAGAGCAAGCCGAGATTTCAGCTTATGTGGGGTGGGGGCAGGTTGAGGAAGGCTGAGAATTTCTCTTGTTATATCTGGGTATTTCTTTGATAATCCTTTGACAAGTGACGATTCAAATCAGTAGGTTCGGTTCTTATTCCTCATGACAGAGAACAGTTGGAAGGCCCCAAATATTCATTCAGGAGGTTAATCACCCCAACCGCATCCCATCTCTTATCCCAAATTAAGATTGGCCTTGGGCAATTTTATTTATTAAATTTATATATTCCTCCCCACTCCCATCTTGCAGTCACACGACTCTCAATTCTTAAATATATGGTGGAGTTTTTTTCTATAACTGATGTCAGGGAATAGAGACTGAGAAAGCCGAAAGAGAAAATTTCCATCTCTGATTCAGGTTTATTGAAAGTTTGCAAGGAGATTTCCTCCTGGGCTTCCTAAGATCTCACCTTCTTCACTTCCAGTCACAGCTATAAAGCAAGAATAGGTTTATTTTTCTTCCAGTCGACCTCCCACTGCCTCCCATCAAAGCCCAGTTCCACCTGCGTCCACCCCTTTGCTCTGAAATCCTCCTGGCCTTAAATTATGTGCTACGTTCCTTGTCTTGCACTCCGGTTGTGTCTTCACGGACGTGAAACCTGAAGGTTGATCCTAGCTTAGCTTTTTTGTCTACGTCCAGCAGGAGCCTCCTGAGTCGGCGTGCGGACGGTCAAGGGAAGGATATGACCCCCACCGAGGCAGGAGCGAGAAGCCCACACGGTAAATGATGCTCTCTGAACTTTTCTTGCAGACGTTTCATGACCCAACTAGGGAACATCATCAGTGCTAGAAGGAGGTTTGCAAGGGAGAAGGAGCAGGAGGAAGAAGACTTAGGAGGAAATTGTGCATTTTGCTGCTTGGTGGCGGGTCCTATTTCCATGTCAGTAGCATGTCCTTCTGGAAATACAGGTAGTCCTCAAATTATGACTCCAATTGAGCCCAAAATTTCCGTTGCTAAATGAGACAATTGTTAAGTAAGTTCTGCCCGATTTTACAACCTTTCTCAACACAGTGGATAAGTGAATCACTGCTATTCTTAAGTCAGTAAGATGGTCGTTAAATGAATCTCCCTTCCCCATTGACGCCATTTGTCAGAACATCACAGAAAGGGATCACATGATCCCAGGACACCGCAACCATCATAAATACGAGTCAGTTGCCAAGTGGCTGAATTTTGATCACGTGACCCTGGGGGTGCTGCAATGGTCGTATGTGTGGGAAAAGGTCATAAGTCGCTTTTTTCAGGGCCAGTGTAACATCGAACGGGCAGTAAATGAAGTGTTGTAAATCGAGGACTACCTCTCCAGGCTCCATTTCCCAAAAACAACAACTTGTTGCCAACAATTGTGATGCTGACCTGTTCTGCCTTCTCTCCGCCAGAGCTGCTCCCCCCTTGACCAAGGAGTTGGACCATCCGCCTGGCCTTACGAATCAGCATAACCTGGCACATCAGATATCCAAATCGGAGTCAGCTCATAAAGGTGAGATGTGGCCTCTTGTTTTATAGAATAGAATATAGAATCATGATCGTCTTTTAACGACCCCATCATCCCTTGTGGGGTGGAGTTCTGGGCAGCTGAATGGAGCTAGCAGAGTTTTTTAATGGCCGGATGCCTTTCCTGTCGCCAATGCGGAGTTATATTCAGTGGATATATTCTCAACGTGCCCAGAGAGAGAAATATCTGCCTCTACCTAGGATCGAACTCACAGCCTCCTGATTGTGAGGCGAGAGCTCCACCTGGAGGCCACCGCACCACACAGAATAGAATATAGAATAAAATAGAATGTTCTTTATTGGCCAAGGGTGAATTGGCACACAAGGAATTTGTCTCCGGCGTGGAAGCTCTCAGTGTACATACAAGCAACCGAGTGATAAATCATCAGATACAATCATAGATCATCAGATCTAAACCAACAAAGTGATCTAAAAGGTTAAATCATGAGAACTGGAGCAAAGTTTATTAAAACCTTTCGTGAGTCATCCAAGGAACTCCTTCAGTCCAAATGAAAATACTTAGGCTGAGAATCAGAGTCATTGGAAAGAAGCAATTGTTGCCATGTAGACTGCAAGGGGATTTCTCCCCAAAATGAAAAAGCAATGTGTAAATGAAGATTCAATCATCAAAAGTTTAATAAAACTTTGGTCCAGTTGCCATGATTTAATCTTTTAGATAGATGGAAACTCATCAAGGAGAAAAGCAACCTGGGATTAAGGAGAAACTTCCTGACAGTGAGGACAATTAACCAGTGGAACAGCTTGCCACCAGAAGTTGTGGGAGGATTTTAAGAAGAGTCTGGACAGTCACTTATCTAAAATGGTATAGGTTCTCCTGCTTGAGCAGGAGGCTGGACTAGAAGACCTCCAAGGTCCCTTCCAGCTCTATTCTGATTCTAAATTCTAAAATATGCCTTTGCTGATTTGACATTTCTTTTCTGTTTTCTTTGCTTGCAGGTCACCCCTATAAGCAGTAGGAGGAAACCTCCCTAGTCCCTTTTCCCCCCCTATAGATACTGACTTTCCATGTAGCAGGCTTTATTGCATTTCTTCCAAGAGATATCCTGACGTCCTTTCGTTCTCCAAGGAGACCATCCTTTCCAGCAGGAGAATGTCCACAAACGGTGCCTCCTCCTCCTCCTCCTCCTCCTCCTTCAGCCTGTTGTAGGGCGATGTTCTCTTTGCCTCTGTGTCAGGCTGGCCAGTTAAGTCCAGCCTTTGGGGCATTCTCACCCCACCTGCACCCCAAGAATCTCTTTCGAGCTTCCAAGACCTGGCTTTGTTGTCCATAGTTTTCCATTGGCCGAGCACAAGAGTAGGATGTGGCCAGATGGACAGCAGAGGAAGGCCAGGGAAGGGTGGAATCAGTCAGCCAGGAAGGTGGTAGTCTTATTGTCATGAGATGTCCAGGTGGCTGGGATCAGGCCAGAGGAGGGTTCTGTGGTCAGACTGGGTTATGGACCAACCTCAAACTTCTGGAGATGTTTCCCCAAGCGCATGTCCTTTCGCCTGGAATTCTGAGCACTATTTCTTGAGAAGAAGACTTCCAAAAATGAGAGAGAGAGACATGTCCATGTCCTTTTCTGGGAAAGAAAAATGGGATTGCCCCCCCCCCCCCCCCCCCCCAGGAAACACTGGGTCATTTTAGGATGGGCCCAACAGTTTTGTACATTTTTAGCTTAGCCCTTTCTTGTTTTCCAAACATTTCCTGAAGGACAGGAACCAACATGAGATTAGCTTGTTTTCTTTTTTAATTTTAATTTCCATCGACTCACAGATACATTCATCAGAAACATCATTTGGGATAAATAATGATGACTCAGGTCTGTTTTATTTTAATTTTTTAAGCTTAGTTTTGAGCATAGAATTTAGACCCCGTCCTTAAGATGCTGCAAATGAGGCCTTGAGGGCCCTCAAACAACTTCTCTCACCCTTTAAACCCTCTCCCCATCCAACAAGATGCTTCATCCGGTTCCCGAATTTTTTGTTGTTCAGTTTTAATAACCTTTTACGGGTCTTGCAAAGTACAGGGGTGTCGTGAACTGACCAAAAGTGCTGGATTCACACAGCACATTTAAGCCACAAGGGAAGAAGGGAAGCAAGATTTAAAATAATCCAGTTTAGGAAATGGGGGGTCAATGCAGCTGTGGATTTTTTTTTTTTACTGACCTGGTTAAAAGTGATGTGTGAATGTAAGCCATGTGGATGAGTATTAGCACATCAGCGTATCTCAGTTTGAACAACTTGAAGATGAAGTTGTTCAAATTGAGATAAACTGGCCTGAATAGATTTAGAATAAATCTTAATAAATCTTACAGAGTGGACATCAAATTCCAGTATTTTTGAAATATTACAGCAAAATGAAGCTTTTTTTTTTTTTAAAGTATACTTTGGAACCAGTAAGGAGAGCATCCATAATTATTGGAATTTTCATAATTTGAAATGCATTTGTAAGGGGGGGTGGGGAAAAAAATGAAGCGTGGAAGCTGTTTTTGGAAAGTATGAACCCTACCAGAATATCACATGCAGATTGAAAGTGCCTTCAACCCTTTTTTCTCCCTCGGGGAGCCCACCAGCTCTGTTGGACTGTGTGACCCACACAATGTTGTGTTGTTTTGTGTTGTTGCGGGGAGTGGGGGGGGGCTAGCCAGGCGAGGACGATGGCTTTCAATGTAACTGGTGCGTTTATTGCCACTCTTCTCTTTGCTGCTGGAGAAAAAAAAATTTAATTAAAATCTCCAGGACAAATTCGTCTGTAAGAGCCCCTCCCTCCCTGCCTCGCCTAGATTTCGCTCTTGAAATATTATGTTGTGATATTTTTTTCCCCATATTCATTTTGAAGTCTTGTCTTGTGACGATGCCATGCTGAAGACGTCCAATGTATTCCCTAATTTTGGTTCGGTTTGATGTTTCTTGTCATATCCACTGGTTTCCTTTTTGTATATAGTTTTATTTCGATACGATCTCTATCAACCCTCCAATGGTGTTTTATGTATTCTTTCCGGTGGCCAGGTTCAATCTTTTCGCTGTCTGCCCTTCTTCGGTGCTCCTTTATTCCATCGGAAGTATTTATTAACGTTCAGAGGTGAGGGGGGTTTATGCGTTGAAAGCTTCCCTACACAGTGGAGACACAGCTCAGGAATTAGAGAGGAAACGGAACTTTTAAATGGGTCCTGGTGGGCTGGGAAGTGGGCCGTAGGTAGCAGTCGGGATTTTAAATGTAACCCCTAGAGAAGAGAGTATTTGTAGCTCGGGGATGCACAGGGGGGCTCCTTGGTGCTCTCTGAGCTTGGTGGTTTTCTTGCAGATGTTTCATGACCCAACTAGGGAACATCATCAGTGCTAGAAGGAAGGGGGTTGCAGGGAGGAGGGGGAGGAGGAGGAAGAAGAAGAAGGGGGACAAAGAGGAAGAAAAGAGGGGGAGGAGAAACGCACAGAGAACAGAAGTGGGGAAGTGACACAGATTCATTTTGGAGAAGCCAAAAATACTGGCCAGAAACACACTCGGATATTTCTGCTTTCCAGGGACTGTAAAAAGCATTTTTGGGCCAGGTCCAAGCTGGGTTTTCAGGTCATGCCAGCTAGAGATTTTCATTCGGCCTAAAAACCTCTTGACTCTGTTGGCTGGGCCTCCTGGGGCTGTCGGGTTTTTTTTTTAATCACCTCTAGAATTCAAAATGCAACCAGGGAGCAGAAATGCTTTTCTTTTCAGCAGGCAACTGGACTTTCTTGTTTTTCTTTGAAGACATTTTGCTTCTCATCCAAGAAGCTTCTTCAGCTCTGACTGGATGAGTCTGTCCAAACTGTGGGCTTTGCAGAGGGAGGACCTCTGGCTTGAAAGAGATGGTCAGAGAGGCCATCTATGTTCAAATTAAACAGCCCCTTCTCACAGAGGGGGAGGGATACCACACTAGCCATCTCCTGTCTACCACGTGGTCCTTTCAGCAGTTCCAAGAATGCTCCACGCCCATTTGCACCACTCAGGTGACCCTGAGGACACAGACAAACCTCCCAAGTGGCCTCAACGACTCTCTAAAAGGATGCAAATGACCAGCTGTCTGCAGGGACATAAATCCTTCCACCATCCAGTCAGAGCTGAAGAAGCTTCTTGGATGAGAAGGGAAACGTCTTCAAAGAAAAAGTCCACTTGCCCCTCAAAAAAGCACCTCTGGGACAGCCGTGACCGGATGATGGAGAAGCTCCATGGACATTTTCAACAGGCCCTTTGACCGAAAAAGGAGTTTTTAGCAGAAGGCACTTCCTGCTGAAACCTGCGCTGGCAATGGCTTGGAACCCACCTGGATGGCTGGATTGATCGAAAGAGTGTGTGTTTGTGTTTGGGTAGGAGCACACAATGGTCCTCTGAGTCTGTCTCCTTTCTCAAAGCCCGGGGGATCTTGGCAAGGCCATCGGGTAACAGGTAACTAACAGGTTTGATAGTTTGATTCCAATGTTGTGGGAGCTCCAACATTGGAGGTTTTCAAGAAAAGATTGGACAACATTTGTCTGGGATGGTATAAGGCAGTGTTTCTCAACCTTGAGAAGTCCACCCATCTTCAGGCTTCCAAGATTGAGAAACAGTGGTATAAGGAGTCCTGCTTTGAACAGGGGTTGGACTAGAAGACCTTGAAGGTCCCTTCCTGCCCTAGGATTCCATGACGGTCCCAATACTGACTGACAGGGTGGAATTAGAGAGTCTTAGAAGAGCCACCTCACTTGAACAAGTCCAGATGTGCTTTTGAGAAGCGTCCTGGGAATGGATAAGTAGAGAAACGGGTCCCTATTCCATATATAGCCAATTCATATTTAAAGTTTTCACATACAGGTAGTCCTTGACTTATGGCCACCGTTGAGCCCAAAATTTATGTTGCTAATTGAGACATTTGTTACGGGAGTTTTGTCCCATTTTATGGCCTTTCTTTTAGAGTTGTTAAATGAATCCCTCCAGTTAGGTCAGTAACACGGTCGTAAAGTGAATCAGGCTTCCTCATTGACTTGTCAGACGTTTGCAAAAGGGGATCACATGACCCCAGAACTCTGCAACCGTAATAGGTACATGCCAGTTGCCAAGCCTCTGAATTCTTATCACGTGACAGTGGGGACCTATGGGTGAAAAAATGGGCATAAGTCACTTTTTTCAGTGCCATTGTAACTCCAAACGGTCACTAAATGAATTGTAAGTCCGGGACTATCTGTTTTACTCTCAACAGCTTCCCAGGCAAGGAATTGATTCATTTTATGACCCTATCAGAAATATCAAAAAAAATAAATTATGACCATATCAAAAAATATAAAACAGAAGAGAACTAAATATCAGTAGCCACACTGACGCAGCAAAATGTGGATCTTTCAGTGGGTCAGCTAAGGGTAAAACTAGTTTCGAGTCTGAAAAAAATATGTCTCAAATGAGTCTGATGCAGGGGTGAAATCTAAAATTTGTTACTACCGTTTCTATGGACGTGGCTTGGTGGTGGTGGTGGTGGGGTGTTAATGTGACTGGGTGGGCGTGGCCAACTTTTTTTTTTTTTTTACTTTTAAAAGTATTTTTTCTACAACCTCTTCAGCCAAAGAGGTTGCAGAAAAAAAATGCCTTTAGAAGCCTCTGACGATCCCAGCTGAGCCGCGCGATCATCAGAGGCATTTTTTTTTTTACTTTTAAAAGCATTTTTTCGGCTGAAGAGGTTGTAGAAAAAATGCTTTTAAAAGTAAAAAAAAAAATGCCTCTGATGATCGCCCGGCTCAGCTGGGCATGGGGGGGGCAGGGATTTTTGCTACTGGTTCTCCGAACCACCTGCCTCCATCGCTACGGATCGGGCGATCCGGGCCGAACCAGGAGCATTTCACCCCTGGTCTGATGCCATTCTTAAGAAGGGCAGAACTGCTAAATTTATAGCTAAGGCCGTTGACTAAAGCAGGGGTCTCCAACCTTGGCAACCTTAAGACTTGTGGACTTCAACTCCCAGAATTCCTCACCAGGAATTCTGGGAGTTGAAGTCCACAAGTCTTAAAAGTTGCCACGGTTGGAGACCCCTGGACTAAAAGACCCCTTCTATCCAACAGGTAGGATAACCCTGTAAAGGCGATATATCCAGAGGTGGGCTGCTGCCAGTTTGGGGAAACCGGTAGTTCCGACCACCAGCTATCTCGTCCTATATATCTCTCGCTCTCTGGCTCGCTTGCCCCACCCACACAGCCCAGCTGATTTCCACGCCTCGCCCGCTCTACTCTCTGCGGCTGCCCGAGAAGCTGTGCTGGAAGCTGCACACCAGGAAATCACTGTGTGTTTGAAGCCGCGTGCAAGCTCACATTTTCAGTTTTGCACTAGGCAAACTGGTTGTTAAATTATGTGAAGCCCCCTCTGGATAGATCTACCTGAACGTTGATTTTTTTTTTTTTTTTTTTTTTTTTGGTATTTAACACCAAGGTATTTGGTTACTGTTTCATCTATTTTAACCTGGACTTAAATCCTGTATTTCTTTTTTTGTTCTATATTTTCAATATGGTCGTAAAATGAATCACTCAATAAACTAAGGTCGTCCTTATGGTAAACCATTCGTTTAGTGACCATTCGAAGTTTCAACAGCACTGAAAAAAGTGACTTACAACCATTTTTCACACTTATGACCAATGCAGAATCCCCATAGTCTCAAATGCCTGGCAACTGACTCGTCTTTATGACGGTCGCAGTATCCCGTGTGTGTGTGTGTGTGTGTGTGTGTGTGTGTGTGTGTGTGTGTGTGTCATGTGATTCCCCTTTTGCGACCTCCTGGCAAGCAAAGTCAATGCAGAAGCCGGATTCACTTAACAACCGTGTTGCTAACTTAACCGCTGTACCGATTCACTTAACAACCGTGGTAAGAAGTGTCGTAAAATAGGGCAAAACATCTGTCTCCCCTAGCAACAGAAATTCTGGGCTCAATTGTGGTCCTAAGTCAAGGACCATCTGTAACTATTTACTTAATATATAGCAAATGCAAATATAGAAAGGAAGACAGGATGTAAAGAAGGATGGGTATGTAGCACACCCTTTTCCCAGCCTGAATTCCTGTTGGATTACAGCTCCAATTGTCCCCAGCTAGGTCTCCTGCCTTAGAGCAGAGGGTTGGACTAGAAGATCTCTGAGGTCCCTTCCAGCACCAGGAGTCTATGTCTTAGGCAGGCCAAGGGGAGTTGTGGTCCCCTTTTCTGGTTGGGAAAAGCTGGTGCGTTGTGTAAGATAAGCTTGGCCACTCAGTGGTGCTGCTGCCACGTGGATCGGAAGAGAAGCCCAGCTGGCAGCCATGCCACGTCCTGCATTAAACACATTTATTTGGCCAAGTGTGATTAGACACACAAGAAATTTGTCTCCAACACAGAAACTCTCGGTCTCCATGCAAAGCAACAGAGCAATAATAATTATAATACCAATGACGCAAACCGGTAGTAAAAAAAAAGCTACTGGTTCCTCCTAACCGGTTATTTCCGACAATCAGCTGTGCAGCGGGGTTTAGCTTTGCTAGAAAGCAGGAAATCCTGCTTTCTAGCGAAGCTAAATCGCACGCCACAGCTGATCCCCCCCCCACCTCGCTTCTACTTACTTTCTCAAGCCTCCTTTTGGTGCGCAGTGTGCATGCGTGGCTAGCGAACCAGTAGCAAACCGGTTCGGATTTCACCACTGCACCACACTGTAAAAAAGATGCTGAGACTCTAGAAAGAGTGCAGAGAAGAGCAACAAAGAGGATTTAGGGGACTGGAGGCTAAAACATAGGATGAACGGTTGGAGGACCTGGACATGGCTGGTTTAATGAAGAGAAGGACCAGGGGAGACAGGAGAGCATCTTCCAATATTTGAGGGGCTGCCCCAGAGAGGAGGAAGGGGGTCAAGCTATTTTCCAAAGCACCTGAAGGCCAGAGAAGGAATAATGGATGGAAGGAGAGATTCAACCTAGAAATAAGGAGGAATTTCCTGACAGTGACAGCAATTAAGCAGTTGAATGGCTTA